ATCAAGACACCCAAGAATAACTCATTTTCACACATGGAAAACACGGAATACCCAGCTTATATTAATAATCCGTTTGAGTCACGCGATCATCACCGCGGAACTGCTGGCAACTTTGACTACGATTTAAAGAGGTGTTTTAAGACACCTAATCATGACTAATTTTTCACACCTAAAAGTCACGTATGCCCAGCTTAGATTAATAATCCGTTTGAGTCACGAGATCATCACCGCGGAACTTATGGCAACTTAGACTTCCATTTAAATAGGTGTTTTAAGACACCTAATAATGACTAATTTTTCACACCTAAAAGTCACGTATGCCCTGCTTAGATTAATATTCCGTTTGAGTCACGAGATCATCACCGCGGAACTGCTGGCAACTTTGACTACCATTTAAATAGGTGTTTTAAGACACCTAATAATTACTTATTTTTTACACCTAAATATCACGGATTCACAGCTATCAGTTTTAACTACGTGATCATCACCAAGAAAGTTATGGTAACTTTGAAACCATTTAAATAGGTGTTTTAAGACACCTAATAATGACTAATTTTTCACACCTAAAAGTCACGTATGACCAGCTTAGATCAATAATCCGTTTGAGTCACGAGATCATCACCGCGGAACTTATGGCAACTTTGACTACCATTTAAAAAGGTGTTTTAAAACACTTAATAATTACTAATTTTCACACCTACATATCACGTTTTCACAGCTTAGATTAGTAATCAGCTTGAGCCACGTGATCATAACCAAGATATTTATGGTAACTTTGAAACCTTTTAAAGAGGTGTGTAAGACACCTCAGAATTACTAGTTGAATATAACCAGAGATTCACGGACAGAACAATAAGACGATTAGCCGGTGTAAGTAACGTGATTATTACCATAAACCTTGGATAACCTGTGAAACCAATCAATAACGGTGCTTACAAGACCAAATAATTACGTATTTATCGCCACCATCGGTTAACTGACAAAAAACTCGTTGCTTGGTCAAGTGGTTATTTGGTCATAAACACTTGATTTACAGAGGTAAGTGGAATCACGTTACTCCAGTCGCGTGATAAACTGGTGGTTTTTAGGTTAGATGAAAACGTGAACAGGAGTACCTTTTTTGTTTAAATGAAGGCACGTGTCGATAACGTTTAAATCTAGTTCAAAAGGCCCTATACTTTAAAATCACTTAAAATACACTCCCAAAAGAGGTTACTTTTTGGTGTTCTGTTTATTGGGGTATTAGCCTGCTAAGCCATGCAGGGAAAGTGTTCAGCATCATCCTCCAGCAAAGGATCATGAAGAAAACAGAAGAAGTGCTGTCCGAAGCACAAGCTGGATTCCGACCAGGACGTTCCACTATGGATCAATTGTTCACCCTCAGACAAATAATGGAAAAGCGCCTTGAAAGAAATCAAAGTCTCCTATGCTGCTTCATCGATTACGAAAAGGCATTTGACTCAGTATGGCAGGAAGGGCTGTGGAAAGCAATGAACTTCTTTGGATATTCATCAAAATACATACACCTACTTCAAGCACTTTACCAACAATCAAACAGTGCAGTCAGAGTGAATGGTGAACTGACCGACTGGTTTAAAACCACAGTTGGGGTACGCCAAAGATGTGCCCTGTCCCCACAACTTTTTAACATCTTACTCGAAGCTGTGATGCTTTACGCAATACATGACACCAAGATCGGCGTAAGAGTACAGGGACAGCTGATTAACAACCTAAGATTTGCTGATGACATAGTCCTTATAGCTGACAATGACAGAGACCTCCAAGCATTAGTTGACCTAGTACATCAGAGCAGCTCAAACTTTGGACTGAAAATAAACATTACCAAAACAGAAGTACAAGCCATAAGCAAACAGCCTCAACTATTGAATATAAACGTTGGAGGAGAACAGCTAAAACAAGTAGATAAGTTCACGTACCTGGGAGGAACAATAAGCCAGACAGGATCCTGCTCGGAAGAGGTAAAGCACCGCATTGGGAAGGCAATAGGAGCATTCCAAGCACTCAAGAAAATCTGGGCATCAAAAGATATACGCTGCTCAACAAAGGTAGAACTGTACAAAGTCCTGGTGTTGTTTATTCTGTTATATGGTGCAGAAACATGGACATTAAGAAGGTCGATGAAAATAGAGTTCACACTTTTGAGATGGCATGCCTCAGGAGAATCATGGGTGTGACCAGATTTGACAGGCTAAGGAATACACACATACGAACACAACTGAATATGGAAGAAACCATCGCCGACAGGGTTGCCACAAAAAGACTGAGATACTTTGGACATATCAACCGAATAAATTCAAAAAGATACCCCCACATCCTTCTCAACGGAAATGTACATGGCAAACGCCCAAGGGGAAGACCAGCTAAGAGATGGACAGACTGCATCAAGGCGGACTGCAAAAACAGACACGTTGACTCCCTGACTAAAGCCACTAGGCTAACAGAAGACAGGAAGGTGTGGCAAGCCATAGTGAAACAGAAGCCATCATACATCCCAGTGATGGTGTGGACGGCTTAAGTCAAGTAAGTGTGAAGATGTGTAAGGGTGAAGATGAAGTATATTTTTTGAAACTTTCCCATCGCACGACAAACAACAAAGGAACACTTTCATTTACATTCATAGCCTTCGGATAGACTCATTGCCGTGTCAGGTACATATTTTGTAAATGATCTAGAAATCCTGTTTAGCTCAGCCATTATTCATTAAACCTTACTAAGCCGATTGCCAACTCATTACGTAGGCCATAATACATAGTGAGTTGACTACCAGGCTTATAGTGAGTTTTTTTATATTCATTTTTATTTTATCAATATAAGCACTGATTAGTAAATAAATGACCCAGGTGAGGTACATGGGAACCTGGCAGGAATTAATTCCTTGAATGCTAGAGCACTGAAATGGCAGCTAGGCTAAAGCAGGGGTAATATTAATGCGCCTCGGAATATAATTTCTAGATAGACGGTGCTATAGAAAAGCCTTTAATTATTATTGATTATAAATAGTTAAGTCTCTCCTTCCATCACGCGTTTAAATTCTACTTATATTCATTAATTCATCTATTTGTTATTTAATTCGAATTTTGCCAATTCCCGAAAACTCTCTTGTTTTCAACACAAAACAATCATCAATCATAAATGATAACTCCATCCAAATATTCTGTCGATGTACACGAATTATATTTCACATTATATACCTCACTCTGAAATAATTTTGTTAATGCACATAGATCTAGATTGCATAGGGATATATGAGTGCAATCTCAATGGTAAGGATTTTAGCCCACAAACTCGAGTGGTGCGCGATCAGACACCCTATTAAAGGAAACCGAACCCTAAGTAATAACTTTACTTATTCTGAGAGATTTATTACATTATTGCCCATAATTCTACAGGATTCCCCACCAAAGTATATGAGAGAGGTAATGATAATGTGACGTACTATGCGAAGTCGTTTAATCAAGTAATGTATTCAAATTTATGGATGCTTCTTTCCCCAGACGTGTGTGGTGATGAAGCATTTCATTCACCTGCTATTATCCTTTGTACTATATTGCCAGAACGCAAATTGCATAAATAAGTTAATTCTCTTCTGGGGTGAAGGTTCCTCCTAAATGAAATAGATTTGTCAACTGCTATATTGTAGTATTCATGAATGAATTTTGTTATAATTGTGCCCCTGTTATTTATTTATCACCTAATATAATTTCTATTATTTCAGTTACTATTTTTTTTTAATTGAAAAGTAAAGGTTTCGTTATTGATTTGAAAATTCTTTCCAACTAAAGCTTGGTGCATGATACATGTACAACTTCAAGCGGACACTTTTTTTTTTTTGGTCTCAAAAAAATCGCAACGACTCAACCGACCGTTGAATAAGCGGGGGGGGGGGGGGGGGGGGGGGGGGGGGGGAGGGGGGGGGGGGGGGGGGGGGGGTAAGAGGACACTTTTTTTTGTCTCAAAATTTGAAAAATTGACATTTTGCTCCGTTGGGGGGGGGGGGTAAGGTCAACTTTCTTTGGTCAGCCATGGGGGTGATTTTTTTTTTTTTTTTTTAATTAATTAAAAACAACAAAAAAACAAAGGGGGGGGGGGGGTTTTAGGGATTTTTTAGGGGGGTTTACACACATAAAAATACCAAAGGGGGGGGTTAACCCCCCAAAACCCCCCCCCCCCCCCTGCGTATGCGCCTGCTATCAGCTTTATAATGTAAGACATTGTTTTAGTTGGTCAATTTCTAAATATCGGTTGTAATGGTAAAATAATGGTAATTTATTTTTTTAATATCATTGTATGACACGTATTGAACATATTTGCCGTCGGTAAATAAATCAAATCAACTTTGGCATAAAAACTGCATACTAACATGAACTAAATGAAGTGAAATAGACGAGTTTTTTTATTCCATAATCTTTAGCCACGAGCCATCGCATTAAAAAAAAGATTTTCCCAAGCCTTTTGATAACTGTTCTCAGTAATCAATGCAATTTAACATAAGTCAATCCAAATTGTTTTGAAGAGTAAAAGAGTCTGAGCCCACTGCCGACTGTATTTAGTCAAGATCTGCTCATGCAACTTATTTAAAGATATTTTGGCATTTGATTTGAAGGAATGAAGTGATAGATGTGATAAATAATATTAATAGTAGGCATTTATATAGCGCCGTCTATCTATAAATTCTATTCCAAGGCGCATTTATTATTACCCCGGCTTTAGCCTAGCTGCCATTACAGGGCTCCTGCATTTCAAGGAATGAATTAATTCCTGTCAGGTACCCATTTACATCACCTGGATTGAGTGTGACAAATGCAGATCAATGTCTTTACAAATGACATAAGTGCCGCGGCGGGACTCGAACCGCGGACCTTGTGATCGACAGTCCGGCGACGTACATGTATCCACTCAACCACGACACAAAGTCAGATTCAAAATATATATTAATAAAAGAACATTGAATCATATGGGTAGAGTCAAATACAACTTACCGTATCTATCAATCAGCTCAGGTGCGTTGCTCCAGTTTCCAATGATGGAGGTCCAGTTTTCACAGTCAGTACAATCAAGTACAATGCGGTCTGTAATAATGCAGGACCAGTTCCTAGTCCCATAGTAAGACCAGGTCCGACGATTAAAGCAGTCCCACTGACCTACAATCAACCATAAAAACCAAGGTTAACCCCTCGAATACTGAATTGTCTAATTCCTGTGAGATTTATACAGGGATGACCCGGTTCCAGTAGGCAATGGGTTGATTAAGGAAGAACAAACCCTGACCCGCATCAAAACAGATAAACCAGGGAGGTGAAAGAAAGGAGTGGAAACTATTGTAATTTATTCAAACGCATTCGTGAGTTCTAAAGCGTAACCATGGGATGTGTAACATTCCACTTGGCTCTGAAGTTACTTCGCTCCGAGCCGCGCTTCCACTGCGGGGGAATTTTGGAGGCAAGGCACCAGTTTCACATTAATTACCGGCAAAATTTCAGCGTAAATTATAACTTTATAATTATGAGGATTGTATTGGGGATAGTGCATCAAACAACTTTTCAAATTTAGTACTCCGCCCTTCCTATAATTAGTGTGCCAGACATGGGTGTCGATCCCGGGGGGATGGGGGGGGGGGGATATATCCCCCCCAATATTTCAGGTGGGGGGGATGGCCTGTACAATCATCCCCCCCAATAATTCACCATAACAAACAAAATTAAAGAATGAAGAGAAAAATTAATGATGAGAGCCCGATGAGAGTAGTTAATGGTTATTACTCGCAAGATGACCATCAATATACACATTTTGCTAACTCATTTTCATAATACATACATATATAAATAGAAAACAAAGTAAATAAGACAACCGTATATGAGACAAGAATAAATTGAATTCTCACTCATACGGCTTCATCAGGAATTGATGAATTTATTCAATTTATTCAATCAACAGCATCATAGAAATGCAGTGCGCCAAATGCAAAGCCTCAGCGTTAAAAAACAACGGCCTAAATGTTGAGAGCGAAGCGCAAAAGTACAAAAAAGAAGTAGCAAGTGGGAGAGAGAGATAATGAGAGACATAGAGGATACAGGCGCGTAGCCAGGGGGCGGTAAGGGCGGTCGCCCCCCCCCCCAAAAAAAAAAAAAAAAAAAACGCCGGCCAAAAAAGAGAGAGAGAAAGAGAGAAGGAAGAGGACGTAGGAAGAACAAGGATTAAGAGTCGAGAATGGTACAACGAATCGTATTCTTTCATTAATAATTTAATGAAACGTCAGAAGTTTCGCGCTACGCGCGAAGGAAGGGGAACTTGATTCAAACAAGGATTAAGAGTCGAGAACGGTACAACGAATCGTCTTTTTTATCTAATAATTAATGAAACGTCAAAGCTTCCGCGCTATGCGCGGCGAAAGGGGAAACTCCCCCTTCCTGCACACCCCCCCCCCGCCACCTCACTACCGCCCCCCCCCTAAAATCAAATTCTGGCTACGCGCTTGAGAGGATAATAACCCAGGTAGCAAGCCCATGTGGGACCCACATTGGTCCCATATTCTCTGAAATGTTATCTTTATTGAGGGTGACTTTAAAAAGTTAATAGTTGGAAGAGAGGGGGTGCAACCTGCCATAAGCTTCTACCTCTTGGTTGCTTTGATCCATTGCCGAAAATATTTTGGCACCTATCATCCCCCCAACCACGGATACAAATCGACACCCTTGGTGCCAGAGTTGGTAAAAGAAGAATTAGATCCTGACAAAAACTCAATATTACAGGATAATGCGCTACTTTGCGCATATTCTAATGTCCCGTTTATTTAATGCATGATTCAAAATCTTCGACAACATTAAGTTTGCTAACGCGTGTTTACGCGTGTTTTTTGTATTTTTGCAGTTGGAAAAAGGATGAAATTTTACAAGTTTGTGTTCGCTTGTTCTACTCATTACACATTCAACAATTGATGAGAAATCATTGAAAGGAACAGCGAACACTTGCTCGGATACCATTTTCTGATGTAAAAATTCTAAATCCTGAAATTTCATACGCTCTTTTATATCTCACCACCTGGTGAACAGTTGCAGATTAGCGCATAACTTTTCGGCGGCTTGGAGCATGGGGTCAAATGAAAGCGGCTTGATTCCACTCCTTTCTTTCACCTCTCTGGATAAACATTCCCCTACATGAGAATCTCTTTCCTCCTTCCCGTAAATGCGCTTCTACTTATTTTTGAAGCCTAAATACTACCTAACCGAGGATTTCGTGTGGTTTTTCCCCGAATTCACACACAAAACGGGTATTTTAAAAAGTGAACTCGATCCTAAATAAGTAGTGTAACATTGTAGCCCCTTGAGCATTTTGAAGTGCAATAGGGATTACCACTTAAGTTGTTGACAATGTCAAATAAATCAAATCGTGCTTCTGATGTCAAATTTACAATGTAAAAATGTATTTCAATAGAGAAGCATTAACATCAACCTAGACACGTCCAAATGGGTTTAATGCACATTCAACAGTCATTTCTTTGAAGAAAAAGAAAAATATTTTAAATTTGATCTATTTTATATAAAGTTCATGTAGTGTTTACAAAAAGTACAAAATAATACCGGCGCGTACATACAGCAGGATTTTGAACCACTTTGAAAAAGTACCCTTAATCTTGAAAATGGCCCAAAATAAACGTTTTTGAACCATTTAACTGCGTCCAATATATAAAAAAGCACCCCTTTATACGCGTTTTCTTGGTCACGCATGCTTACAGAGTTACAATATTTCAACTTGACTGACACCCCCGGAGTTGATTTACACAAAAAGCTCTTAAGATAGAGGATAAGTGCCCGATAAACTCTTTACCGCGCCCCTAAGGCCTACAAAAAGAGAGAGATGCTGTATTGCTCTTTAATAGAAGTGCCAAAATATAGATCGGTCCGTCAGAAATCCTTTTCTTTTTTTCTTTTTTTCATCCCATTTTGGGCTGATATTTTTCAATATTAAATGCTTTGATACGTACTTTTTTATTCATTAAACTTGTTTGTCTTCTAAAAAACGATTACAAAAACCAGACTCTAGATTTCAAGATTTTGGGGTCGGTCGCAAAGGGCAATACAACATTTTTTTTTCTTCTAACGCCTAATCAATCTATCTATCTATCTATCTATATTTAGTTCTTTTGAAAGAATAATCGGATCACGCCTTTAAAGCTTATCTGCCATAGTTTACAGGAGGGATTAGACCGCCCTTCAAGGTCACTGGACAGGTGGTTATCTCATCAACTCAACTCTCAGTTAACATAAGAAAAAGAGCATCATGGGGGACCAATGGTCACCGATTAGGCATTGTTTGTTATATAGAGGGCGCAAGTAGCTACAAGTAGTGTAGTGGGCCTTTAAAGCTCATCTGTCCTAGTTTATAGGAGGGGTTAGCCCACTTTGCAAGGTCATTGGACAGGTAGTTATATCACCAACTCTGCTCTCAAGTAACATAAGAAAAAAAAAGGATCATGGGGGACCAATGATCACCGATTAGGCATTGTTTTCTATTTAGAGGGAGCAAGGACCTACAAGTAGGACAGTGTGGCTTTAAAGGGACCTTGTAACATTGTTCAGATGAGAGAAAGTGGTGCTAAGGTAGTAACTACAATGTTAGATGTACAATTAAAGATAATCTGAAAGTTTGAGTGAAAAGCGGATCATTATCAATGATATAAATTGGAAAAAACTGATCTGATCGATTCCTTAATTCTCCTAACTATATCATTACAATTTAAGTACATTTAAGGTGAATATAAATTGTCACAAAGCAATGAATTTGCTCTATGTACTATTCCAGACTTGGGTATTGAAAGATTTTTAAAAGCCTGTTTTATGTCTTTTTTTCATGGAAAACAGAGTTGGGAAAATTCAAAAATGGTTGGAAGAATTTACTGTTAATCACTGTTAGAGTGTGTTGCACGGTGACACCTTCAAATGAAACCATAGATATCTTTGTGGTTTGAGAATTTTTTCGGGATTTTTTGGTATGTTACATGGTTAGTACAGTAGAAGGAATATATTAAGTAACATTTCATTCCAAAATTATGCAATTTTTTCATCAGCTTTCAACAATGTTACCGAGTCACTTTAAACTTACAAGTTTCTCTACCAATAAGAAACGTCAGAAAAAACAACTTCACCCACGTCGGAGTTGATTTTCTCATTTAATATAACCATTACTATTCGTGGAAAAAAGGGAAATGCAAAGTCCATGTTACTGTTTTTCATAAAAAATGTACGGCACTATATATGAAACATACCATGAAACAAATTACAAGACATACTTCAATATACGTATACATACAGTATCATGTATCATTTTACAAATCTAAATATAATGTAGACTGTCTTAATACCCAACAAATTACCATAATTTAATGTTTTTATTTAGTGAAAAAATCAATTAGAATTGGACATTTGAATCTTAAATGATAAAAATCAAATATATAATACATCAACATGTAACATGCAAGGTGAAAAGAAATATCAGAAGACAACGAAATATTGAACTCACCATCAGATGATCCTAATAAGCAGATGATAATAGAAGTCGACAGGACTAATAATGTGGCACGATATTCCTTCCAGCGAAACATCATTCATTCATCGTCTGTAAGGAAACCAGGAACCAACTGATCTCCGAAATATGTAGAAGAAAAAATAACGCAAACCAAATTCACTCGCTCTATCAGACATGCGTCCAACCTGATAGTAGAGGAGGCACTGAGCTGTGTGAAGGCCCTAATGATGCTTTTATTGGAACGCCAACTCACTTCCCCAAATCCATACATGCGGGCAACAAGTTACCACGAAGGCTTCTTGACCTAAAGAATAGGGACATTTAGATTTGCACGTCGACATAGTGGACTGCTACATGAGTTCCTTAAAAGGTCGTCACACGTAGCAGTCCACTATGTCGACGTGCAAATCTGAATGTCCCTATTGGTTGGACTGCCATTCTAACGATGAATATCATAATACATTGAGTGTTATACCGGAAAAGGTTCCCCTCTCTGGAAAGGGGGGTATCAACATGGACCTAGGTTCAAGAATAATTATATACGCACAATTTGAATGATATGATTATAATCAGATACACATGTACAGTCATATAAACGAACTCAAACTGCGACCAAGTTCGTTGAATGTAGACTTCAGATAGGCACAAATTTATTGACGATTCGGAAACACTCACCGCTGGTAGATTGACTTGATTAACTTGTCGGGTTCCAAGTGGATCCAAAATGTTGATTTATGATATCCGAAACATTGCTCAAAAGTAAATACATGTCATAAATTTTGTGGTAAACATGTACACGACCTGTATATTTTGCATTTTTTTACCCCTAAACTACAATTTTCGACCGCTCTCAAGGCCATCAATACAATGTGATCGTTCTTGTATATCATAACCTTCAATATGGAAGTCGGCTTACAATGATTCTTTTATCTCTTTTCTTCTCTCTCTTTTGTATGGATATAATTGCATTACAAGTAGTTTGTGACGCGGTCTGTGACAAGTTCAAAACGACCCGTATGCTCTCGATGACGATCTCAGATAATTTAGTAGCTTGTAGCTCGCTTAGTTCCCCTTTTCTTCTTCTTTCCCCCTTTTCTTTTACGTAACACGCGCGGATCTGATTGGAAAAAGGAGACAACTGCTGAACAAATTATCGTTCCAGATGACACGAACAAATAGCAGTTCGTAACAAATTCGATATGGTTGCGAACGCTGCTCAACAGAAGGTGGGATTGAGATTTATGCATATTTTTCCCGAGAATTAAATTCAACTTGATATAATGAAGATAATTCGAAGAATAAAGTAGTAGGCGAACATAATAGGAGCGCAGATCACCACATGGTCTAATTAAATGTTTATTTCTAAAAAATAGATGAAGATATTTTATGGTATATAAGCTTATATATTATATATAACTATCAGTCAGTACAAATTGCTTTCCAAATTAAATCTCACTTATAAAACATTGGTTTGGTTAATCCTTTTTTTAACTTCTATTCTTTGGAACAACTTCAGAAATTATGAAACATAAAGTTACATCATTTCATTGTACTTGAATATATCTTTTGGGTAATTTTCAATTCAGGTTGAAATTGTAAGCTGTTTCCACTCTAAGCGTAGTTCAATCGTTCTTAATCAAAGGCAACGTTTAGCAATGTTAAATCTGAGATGCATGGCCCTACATGTTATCAGTGTCCGTGATATGGTGTAATATTGAAGCCCTAAAAAAAATCGCGCTTCAAAATGATTAAAAAGTGCCTAAAAAAAAAGCAGAAAATCTTTGAGTGACCGGTTTTACCATTCTCGTTTTCCCTAAGAGACTGTAGTGTTATGAAAACTATTAGGAAAATGCAAAATTTTGTTTCGATTTCTGATCATAAATATCTTGATAATCAGACAGGCGATCAGCTCGTAAAAGTCATGGGGTTCCTGACTGACCTACAGGTTTATAATTATCATTGCAGCATGAGCTAAATCAAGGATTTTGTTTCAGAATCTGAGACAAAGCTACATGATCCCTTCATCCTGAACGTTGTGTCATGTAAACACTGCGATATCCTACCTGCAAACTATATCCTGATGTTTTAATCACCGAAATAACCAGTTTTAAGCACGTCTTTATAATAATATACCCTATCTTTTTAACAATGTTTCCTTGGATCTTGCCATATAGTTCAACTCAACCATGCTTTGCTCTTTTTGTTATTGTTATCTGCAACCTTATCTGTACCAGCTACTTTCTTTGGGCGAATAACCTGACCTTAATTTCATCACGGCTCACTGATATTTATAATGGTCTACCACAGGGTTTCTATGAAAGCTGAAAGTTCCGAAACATGGGATGCCAATTCGCCTGAAAATGTTTATGGTCGATCGTATATTTGAACTTAGGTATAGAATAATGTACAAAATGATTGCTGGAATGCCAGGCACGGCTCAAACATGACTCAATTGTGTTTCAGATTAAGACAATCTACGCCTAAATTGTACAGTAATTACACTTGCATACTTAAGATAATAGTGAGGCGTGTTTTAAGTCTAAAACTCGTCTAAATAGAATTGCTTGAAAAAGAACACCCAATCTCTTGGAATTTAAAGCAATTTCGTTAAAACTTCCAAAATGTCTCTTACTGTACGCGGAATTGCAATGGGTAGAAAAACGTCATACGACTTGTCGCACAGTTCTAGATTGTGAGCTTTAAACTTTAACTTAGGCCCGAATTCACACCTATATTGTATGAGCGTCATAATATGACGCGTTTCGATGCGTTTTTTTTAATC